AGACAGTGGTAAGATAGATTTCTGAATAGTTCACCATGTGTTCAGATCAACATCTTGAAGGAGTTTTAGAAAACATTTCAAAACTCCCACCTGCTCCCCCAAACCACTTAGAAACACATGCAGCTATCTACTGCAGAATGACTTGTGGGAGGTGTGGGGAGGGGGGGGTTGCCTCACAGTGGAAACAAAAATATTAGATTTGGCTATTTGAATCTGTCCAAAGTAATGGCAGTCCATGGTGCTATTCTAGGTTAGATCCCATACATTTGCTTCAAGCACTCTCAGAGTCAAGGAAAGGTCACAAAAACCTGCATCCCTTTTGCTGTTCTTGGCTGCAAGGCAGAGAGGCACACACACGGAATCAAGGCCAAGCAGTTTATACACGGAACAGACTCTAGAGAAATGGCTGTTCGATCAATTAAGCAGCTTAAAATGTCAACAGAAAAGAAAAGCAACCGAAAAAGGAAGCAGAAAACAGTTCTCAGCATCTATACAGCACATTGATTTCTAGAGGCAGAGGAATGCCAATTGAGAGCCGTTCCACCTGACCAGGGAGACCAGTTTTCTCTTGGGTTAAAGGAGATCTCTGCAGGCCGTGATTGGGATGCTGCAAAAGAGGCAGTCGGTTGATGGCAGGAATAGGTAGAGGCTGCGTATAGGCCCAATTTGAGGATGTGTGGCGCTGTCCATGCACAATAGGTTAAGGGAGGGATCATCAATTTGCGCTGAGGGAAGAGCCACAGCTTGCTAGCACAGCCCCTGCTTTGTACACAGAAAGCCCAAGGCTCTATTCCTGCCTAGGAATGTACTCTGGAGAGCTGCAGCTAGACTCGCCAGCTGTTTGGTTCAGCATAAGGCAGCTCCCTGTGTTATTCTTCTATCATATCTGCATGAACATCACCTCCTACATGATGTTGGTGTTCTTTACCAAAACCAGGCTCAGCCATGCAAGCTGCTGAGCTCACCCACTCCTTCAATCTGCACCAGTCAAAAGCTAGTAACAAGTTCAGGCCACTCAGGATCCTGCTATTGAGAAGTCACCTGATGATTTAAGAGTAAATATTCATTATCCATATCCTGATCATATAGGATACGTTCTCTCTTTAATATTTTTGGCAAAGTTTTGTATGGGGCCTTTCCCCTCACACACCTGATAATGAAATGTTCGTGTAGGTAGCAAAATTGGGGAGAAGCGGGGAGGTTTTATCTTGTTAAAAATAACTCCTGGTTTAACAGCTCCCTTCACAGAAAACACAAAAAATGATAATCTACAACAGAACAAGCATTTACTGTATTGTCACAGTCTTTGCTTTTAATAGAATATTTTGCACTGTTTTAATTGGGGACGCCTATTATGTAAATGCCTTTAGGTCAAGAGATAATGCAAAGTTATTTTTACTTGTCATTTGCGCTTTTTACGTTCCTCCATTCAGAGAGCTGTCCATTTATTCCCACTTTCTGCTTCTTGCTACCCAACCAGCTTCTGATCCTGCTCTCATACAGATCCCGTAAATATGGTTTCATACTGAGCATATCCTTTTAGGTGGTATTAAAGGGAAGCCTCTGCAAAGCAAATCCCCGACCCCATCCAGGTCTTTCAGTGTGAACAAGCTGGTGTTGCATAGTGGTTAGAGTGGTCAACTAGAACAGGGGTAGGCAACCTAAGGCCCGTGGGCCGGATGCGGCCCAATTGCTTTCTCAATCCGGCCCATGGACGGTCTGGGAATCAGTGTGTTTTTACATGAGTAGAACGTGTCCTTTTATTTAAAATGCATCTTGGGGTTATTTGTGGGGCATAGAAATTTGTTCATTTCCCTCTCCAAAATATAGTCCGGCCCACCACATGGTCTGAGGGACAGTGGACCAGCCCATGGCTGAAAAAGGTTGCTGACCCCTGAACTAGAACATGGGAGGGCAGGGTTCACATCCTGACTCAGTCCTGAAGCTTACTAAGTCACTTGGGGCCAGTCACATGCACTCAGCCTAACAGGGTTGTTGCCAGGGTAAAATGGGGAATAAATGTGTGTGTCACCTTGTACTCCTTGAAGAAAAAGTAAGTGATAGATGCAATAAATATAAATAAGAAAAGGGGCAGAACACACTAACTGCTACCTATTGTTTCCATATTGCCTACAAAAACCTGAGTGGTTTTCTCTAGCCCGAGATCTTGGAAGAGATGAGAGTCAACCCAGAGGCCCCTTTGGTCCACAGTTCAGTCTCTTTGGACAATGAAGGAGAGCACATCTAGTGTAATGGCTAAGAAACAGTCCTGTTCCTATTCATATCCTGCCCAACATCTCCCAAACTGACACATAGCCTAAAAATCCAGCCAAGCTGCTTTTCATGAACCAAAAGTCAAAAGTTAACATGTAAGTTACTTAGTATTTGACAACAATTCTGCTGTTTGGTCCCAGAGATGATGTTGGGTTGATGTCTGGTTTTTGTTTGTGGATTTTCTTACTGAAATGTCACAAAATAGTGATCTCAAAAGCTTGCACACTCTTTTTAAACATTTTGATTGTCTTAAATAAGCTATTGTCCTACTGTGGATATTGGAGTTTTCTCTTTACTTTTTCTTTCTATGTTATCAAGTTCTGGGAGGAACCTTTCCCAGGCCTAATCGAGATAATACAATGATGGTTTGAAAGGAAAGCACTCATAATTCCTAGTATTTGTATACTGTAATCTTGATAAACTAAACTGCACTTTAAAATGCTTTTAGATAACCCATCAATCATGATTCCATCAGATTGAAAGGCAGGGTAAAACATGCCATGTGCTATATCTGGAATACAGTGCTATTGTTAATTTAAACATAGTGTTTTCGTTCTCATCTTTGCATCAGTTTATTATAGTGCAGGCATGTCCAACAGGTTGATTGTGATGTACTGGTTGATCGCAGGATGTTCCTGGTCAATCCTGGTCAATCCTAGGACCCCTTGTGATCTCCACTCTAAAAAATGCTCAACAATTTTGGCTCCTTAAAAGCTCAACAACTCTGGGTAGATCACTGCCAGTTTTTTTTATACTGTGAGTAGATTGCAGTCTCTTGGGAGTTGGACGTGCCTGTTATAGTGTAATGAATGATGTGACCTTTCCTTTCTTAAGCCCATTGTCAGCTGATTCCAGCATGTCTGTCTACCATGTTTTCTTAGCCCAGCCACATCCTGCTTGCATTGCTTCTTGGTAGGATATCCAGTGTTTCCCAACCTTGGGCCTCCAGCTGTTTTTGAACTACAATTCCCATCATCCCTGACCACTGGTCTTGCTAGCTAGGGATGATGGGAGTTGTAGTCCAAAAACAGCTGGAGGCCCAAGGTTGGGAAACACTGGGATATCCTAGAAGGTTTGATGAGATTCCAGAGAGCAGGATTAGGTAGACAGGAGAAAAGCTTAAGATATAGGCGGAACACGGGGGCCACCAGGTGACGCGTTGGAAGATGGCCGACAATAAGATCTCTCTGACCCATATGAGGTAATTAAGGGGCTGCTATGGGAAGTATGCAGTCTTCCTACCCCCCCCCCGGAGATGGGGGGTGCTGCCTTGCCAGCGGTGTTCACAATGCACCCCCTGATCTGAGAGATGGGGGTGCCGAACACTTGGCACGAGCCCTCAGTGAAGTCAGATCTTCCTGACGCTGATTCCAATAAGTGCGTGCTGGTTAGCTTCAGCTCGGAATTATAATTGGAAACATACAATTGGAATGAAGCTGAAGCACATATATCAAGTAATGTTCGAGAGATAAGACTGCTGATTAATGGATCTCTGTGACCAGGAGTGACGGACGGATAAGTAAATCTTCTGATGAATCACTACTAGGAGACTGTATGTTTGGAATGAAGGGGGGGTGGAGGAAAAAACTTTTTTTTTCTTTGCACGATGTGATATTAATAACCCTTCACCCCAGATAGAAATAAGATCGTTGTGTTTTTACTAATCACAAGCAGGAATTCAAGAACTGTGTGGGATGGATTATAACAGGAGAGAGGATTGGTGAACGGTGAGAAAGAGGAAAATTTTCATGACGCAGTTAAAAAATGGCGTCTCGCCAAGACAGGCTTGCCGGAGAAAGAAGGACAGGGGGAGGAGAATCAGGATCATTCGAAAGAGAAGGAATGTTGGAACGCAAGCTTGACCTGACAGAGCCTCCTGATGCATTTGATTTATTTGGCAAGCCTGAGAAAAGTAAAGGACAGACCGAAGATTAATATTTTTTTGGGAAGCGTTGAACAGAGGCTGTCCCTGAGTGATATGATCTTTGGAGAGTACAAAACCCACACAAAGGATGCCTGTTTTCAATCTGCTTGTGAAAATTATCAGAGATCGCAAAGAAAGGAATATACGATAACAACAAGAAGAGAAAGAAAGTAATAAAGGACTATATGGATTGAACTGGATAGAACTGTCTAATTAAAGCAGTAATATAAGTGATGTTTGGACTCGTTCGGAGTTTTGGACGCGTGCGGAGCTTGATGTAGGGGTACCCCCAACAAAATTTAAAATTTGGCTGTATAATTTGGAACTAATGTGATTTGGATAATGTGATGTGATTGGCCTGTTAATAAAAATTATTTTAAAAAAAAGATATAGGCGGAACTTGGCTACTGAAAAGAGCAAGCAGAGAATGTGCCCTACAGACTAAGACAATGCATATTCATTCAGGAACAAGTTTACAGAAGATTGTTAATGCTCATAGCCTCTAGCCTCACTATTTTGCAGGACCAGTCCAAGTGCAAAACTTTATGTTTGCCCAAATGAAATGGATTAAAGGGCTCTGCTACCCTAGTTCAGTTCATACGTTTATTGTTCTAGCCAAAGTGCACGACAAACCTGTATTAAACAATAGCATTACTAATACAAAACATGCATCCATAATATAAAAATCTGCATTGTTTTTGCCAAGTTCCTAAGTATTCAAACAGTTTCCTTTGTGCATCTCTGACAGCTCTGATTCTAATATTATTTCACCTTTCTAAAATCTACAACATCCATGTTGTAAGAGAGAGAAGTGACCAGAGACACCAACAAACCCAAATCCATCTTGATTTCAGATTAAACCTCCAAACCCCCACAACAATTTATAGTGATTTTGTCTAACTCCTTTTTCTGTTTCCATTCTCCCCTTCCCAGCTAGTGCACAGAGGGCCATTCTTTGTGCTGTGTCACTCAAAACAAACTGAACCATTTCTATTGGGTGGTTATTCTAGTCTAGTGCAACAAATTCACTTTAAAAAAAAGAGAGAGAGAAGAAACCAACATTTAGAAGTTAGGAAAGTGATGGGGAAATGCACTGAAGATTGTGGGATTAATGAATGATTAAGAAGAAGATCAGGAGGGGTGCTCAATAAAGACAGGATATAACCTAACCTGGTAAAATATCCCAAAACAGCATGCAAATGTTTGAGTTCTCCCAAGCTCTTATTGTCTGTCTTTGTGAACTGTCAGAGGCAAAGAAAACAGGCTTTAAATTGTGATATTGTTATATTGTGAGCAATATAAAAGGAAAACCTTGCAACAAGTGAGCATATTTGGACACATCTTCAGTATATGAACACCATAACACTATAAGAACACCTAGAGGAAACTGAATCTAACAAACAAACAAACAAACCCAGAAGTGCAAAGTTTGAGAACCTGCCCCCACTCCTGATTTGCAGATTGGGCAACAATCTTGAATTGCTAGTTTGGCTGAGTAGACATTGGAGGTTTTTAAAAGCATAGGTTGGATGGCCATCTGTCATGGATGCTTAAGTTGAGATTCCTGCATTGCAGGGGGTTGGACTAGATGACCCCTGGGGATACCTTCCAACTCCACAATTTCATGATTCTATGACAGCCTTCTCCAAGGTGTTTTGGAAGGGCAAGTTGTTTGTTGCCCTCGAGGTGTTTTGGAGGGGCAAGATAGCCAATGCACAGGGACAATAGGGTTTGTAGACCAAAAACAGATGGAGGGCACCACGTTGGGGAAGGTTGTCAGTGTGTGATCTCTGGTCATTCCCAGCAAGAAATAATAAACTTTTGAGACAAAAGCAAAGATGTTCACATTTAAGGTGCAACGGCGTTTGGATTTGTTGCTGTTTGTGCACATGCGAGAGAATAAAGCGCCTGCATCCTTCCACAAGTGCACACGGTTTTGCACTTCTACCTGTGGCCGCCTCAGACTACGCCAGCATCCCTCCCCAGCCTTAACCTTCTTGGAGCATCCTTTGCTGCCTTCTCATTAGAGTATCGGCTTGCATCTGTTGGGAAGGTACCAACCCTCGCTAAGGGGAGGCCGCAATACCATTGCAATTCGCCTTGCAACAGATCGAGCCCCAACAGGCAGGAAACGGGAGGGTTTCCTTCCCGAAGCTAGAAAAGCCACAGTGCTCTTCCATAAGCTGCACTCAAAGCCTACGATGTTTGCAGGAGGTGAAAGGACATTAGCCTTCCTTCTTTGCTCCCCCCCTCGCCTCGCCGCGGCATGCACCGGGTCCGCTCCCCAGGTGGATGTTTGCACGTTGGCGTGGAGATGAACGCCGCTCACAGCCCAGCCTCGCCTTCGCCGCCGCCTCCTGAAGCCGAGGATTGGACGGAGGGAGAAGTGCCGGGCTGCGATTGGGCCCGGCGGGTCTGTCTGTCTGGCTGCCCCGTTTCAGCCTCGGTTGCATCACAGCGTGGGGATGCTGCTCTCTTCGAGCCGAGCCAGAGCAGCGGCGGTGGCGAAGAGGCGATGGTGGTGCCGCCAGAGCATCGCTGCAAGCCGCGCGCGCAGGACGGGCGTAGTAATAGCAGCAGCAGCAGCAGCCGCTGCTTTGCAGCCGTGAGGAGGACAATGTAAAGCGCGGGCCGAGGAGCCAGTGCAATGCAATAGCAGCCCCGGAGCCAGGAGGCGGCGGGGAGAAGGAGGCGGAGGGGGAGAAACTCCGCGCTGCTGCTCCTCCCTCCCTCCATTCATTGCCTGCCGTGCACGGATTATCACATTGGGGAGAGGATTCTGGGCAGCTGGGCAGCCCGGCGGGAAGGAGGGAGGTCTCGGCGAGCGAGCGAGCGACCCGCCAGCCCCGCGGCTCCGGGCGACGTCGACCCGCCGCCTCCCCTCACGGTCGCCGGGAGCCTCCCCGATGGCTCCCCGCCGCTGCCTGGATGCCTTTGTCCCTCGCCGCCGGGACCTGGCGGGAGGCGGCTGGGCTCCGCTCCGGGGAGAGCGCTAGGAGCCTCCTCCCCGCATCTCCGCCGGGCGCCTCTCCGCGTCCTCCTCAGCGCCACAGCCAAGTTTTCGCGCCAGCCGCGAGGCGCCGAAGTTGCAGGTGAGGGGCGGGCGCCCCGCGGGGAGCGGGCGTAGCTGTGAGGGGAGCGGCGCTGGGGGCGAAATGAGCGGCGAGGGGCCGAGCCGGCGGCCGGGTTAGGCGCGCACTCCTCGCGCCCACCCGGCAACGCCGCCGCCGCCGCCGCTTTCCCTTCGCGGCCCGGGCGCCCCTCGCTCACCCCCCGGGGGCAGGCAGACCCCCCCGGGAATGCTGCCTGGAGGATGCTGTGGTTCCCGGTGAAGAAGATCCGGAAGCAGTTCAAGCTGCTGCTGCTCCTGGTGCTCCTCACCTTCGCCGTGTGGTTCACCTACCTGCACATCAGCCTGGTGCGCCAAGGCAAGGCGCTGCGCCTGCACTTCGCCTACGGCAGAGGTAAGCAAGCGGCGGGGCCCCTTTTTATCCCCCCTGCCTACCCCGGAGTGAGGGCCTTCCCCACCTCAAAGGGGATCTTCTTTAGCCTTTGTTCAGTTACTCCCAAATCAGTCGTTTCCTTTCCTTTCCTTCTCTCCCCTCCCCTTACTTAGTTTTGAATCAAAGCGAAGTATAATCTCGCCCGTGCAGCCCCCTCCAGAGACCGCAAGTCTTGTGCCCTGGAATACTTTATCAGGAATAGTTACCACCAAGACCCACTTTAAATACTGACACTTGCTGGTAAGTTAGGATTCCTACTCCACTGACCTGGAGAGGAGGAAAGGCTGTGATATAGGACTGGGTCTTAAGTGATTTAGGATATGTACTCTTTGCTCATTAGGAGCAAGGCCATTGTCTTATTTTTGCACTTTGTGCAGGTAGAGTGCCAACTCTCAAAAGTCCTTTCATATATTTGCTATATACAGTATTTGCCTTCCAGTGTCTTCCCCAACCCTGGTGCTGGTCATAACTTTTAAAGGAGTGCATGTGAACACACTAGTATTTGTAATAAAGAAATAAATAAAAAGCTGTGGCTATTTGAATTGATCTCGGTTCAAGGAGGACAGCCGAGCTCTTGCCTTTGCCAAACCCTTGATCTCTTAAGGTGCTTACATTCTCCCAATTTGCAGAATACTCCTCCTTTGGCTGGAGAATTGGTATTGGAAACTCTGTAGTTCTGTGCATGTTTACTCTGAAATAAGCCCCACTGTGTCCAAGGAGACTTACTCCCAAGTAAATGTACCAAGGATTGCCAAGACAAAGGCGGCAATCTTGATTCAGAGAGGCATACAGAAGAGCCTCTGTGTGGTTAGCTGGGTTTCAAAGCTCAGGTCAGGCACTTGGCTGTAATTGCCAACAAACTGTCCAAACCCTCCAGGTCTTTAGTCTTTGTGGCAGAGTGTTTGTAGCAGCAACTCAATATTTCTTTAGAGCAAGACTGTGTGATCATTTCTGAATCCAGAGCACAGAGCTCCACTGTATATGTTGGGGGGGAAAGAATTCCAAAGCACATGGAAAATCCAGCTCTCTAACCAGGTCAGTTGCTGAGTTTTGTGCAGGCTTGTTAAAAGAGCCCTCTACCAACCTAGCAACAGCTTTATCTTTATGCCACTGGCGTGTTGTGAATGACCAAGGCGGCTATGCTCTTGTAGGTGTTGGAGAGGCAGGAGGGTAGCGCATCTCCTGCAGTGATGGTTGTTCACTAGCACATGTGTTTGATGTCTAGCTACATGGAAGAAACAGCATGAAGATGAAAATTAAGGGAATGGGTTGAATCCCCAGATTCAAGTTATTATTTAAATGTAGCTTTTGGTTCTTGACTGGGCCAGGAACCTCAGACTTGTGTATTTCTAGCTACAGGTATGAGCATAATATGCACATATCTTGCACAAACAGGAAATGATGTGGAGCCATAGCTGGCAGATACAAAGTTTCTAAAATCTTGTTCTGGAATTGATAAAAACAAGAAATTGACAGCTTTCCACTGTCCTTTGATTTGGTTAGATATTTAGAACCATTCTTTGGAAAATCTGCCTTAAAACATATAACCTTTTTTTTTTTACTGTGAAATGGCATTTTTAAGCTAAGATGTGAAACCAAGAGGACCAGAAACATGCATTAATTTCTATAGTGAAAGCTAAGATAGTGATTTTTGCAGAGTCCCAGAGATTTTAATCAAAAACACTGTGTTGCCTTACTGCATACCCTTGTGTGCTTATTTCAGTGGCACAACGTTTTAAAAATCTTAACTGGCATTTAGTTGTGGGTCCTTTTTGCAATGGGAAAATTTGTGTAATCATGAAACCTGCTTCCAAAACAGAGGCTACAAAAGGGTTGGGTGTGGGCTATTGTCTGCATTCCAAGAGCAAGATAATTGCCACGGAAGAGAGTGGAACTAAATTTCAGCATATTTCAGGAAATCTGGTTCTGGTTTACAATTCCATTCAGTTCTATATTTAAATTTAAAAAGCCAACTTAATACAAGAATGTGGGGTGTCTTCAAAATATGAATTTTGCTTTATTTTCTTTCACTAAGGGGAAATGTGACTTAATAGTAGAGTATTGAATTTGGTTATCCTTCCCCTTTCACTAGTGATCACTTCTGATTTTGGTAGAGTTACTTCAGATTTACACCTCTGTGATAAAAAATGTGAATTAGGCATCAGTATCTGACCTTCCTGTTTCTAAAGGATCTTTTCAAGAACTACTAAAGGGCATTAATCTCTATCCCTAAAAAGGGTCACTACAATTATGAGCATCATAAATGTGTTTGAAACAATCAAGGGATAATTCCTTGTACAGTAAAAAGTTGTGTTAGTAATAAGTCAAACTTGTTATTTTCTCAGTCCTAATATGAAGTGAGGATGTGTGAGTATTTCACAAAATTGCTTTACTTTTAGACGTTTGAGAATGATTATGCAGCAAAAATCATCGGTTGAAATACTGAGCCTATTTCAGAGGTGAAACTGCTGTTAGAGTTGTACTGTACCTAAATTAATCACAAACCTTTTACTGAGCAGTCTAGTGGATGAATGAATTCTTATGGAGCATGTGCCTCTGTGTGTATTTTGGAGAATGTGCTGTTCGCTTTTTAAAAGTGGCTTCTTGATTAACCACTACCAAGAATTTGCGATCTTGATGTTGTAAGGTGCTTAAATGACTACAGAATGATCCTCTACAAGAGATAGGAGTAATATTTATTCTGTTAGGGTGCTTTCACCACTGTTATGGTGCTTTCAGTATACTAATACTAATCCAATTATGACTACTAAATTATTATTTTTAAAAAGTTGCATAGTGTTGGGCTATCATGGGCCATGCAGTGGTGGCCCAAATGCCTCATACGGCAGTAGCACAAGGGTACACAACCTGTGCCCCTCCAGATGTTGTTGAACTACACCTCCTATCATCTCTGATCACTGGCAGTGCTGGCTGGGCTGATGGGAGTTGTACTCCAGAAGCATTTGGAGGGTTGCAGGTTGTGCACCCCTGCAGTAGCGGATTGTGGTGCTGCAATAACATTGCTACATCAGTGCAGCACCTTGAGTAAATTGCAGTGTTGGCCGTGCCATAAGTTGCAGTGTTTCACCGGCACTACTGTTCTTCTACATATGGTAATTCTGTTGCTATTACAGTGGTACCTCAGTTTACGAACTTAATGTGTTCCGGAAGTCCGTTCTTAAACCAAAACCATTCTTAAACCGAGGTGCGCTTTCCCTAATGAGGCCTCCTGCCGCCGGTGCCCTTTCACCATTTGGATTCCGTTCTTAGACCGAGGTAAAATTCGCAAACTGGGACACAACTTTCGGTTTTGCAGAGTTCGCAAACTGAATAGTTCTTTAACAGGGCTGTTCTTAAACCGAGGCACCACTGTATAAGGACTGAGCCATCAGAATGCACTCTAAAATGTTTGAGGTGCAAAGGAGTTGCTCTTGCACTTGTTCTCGCAAGCTGTTGCAAGAAAATAAAAGATGTTTAGGGGGAAACAGTGACTGTATTATGCTGCTTGATGATGCTCTTTACCAAAATAATGTAAATTCCAAGATCTTGTGTGTTAATAGTATGTTCAAATTAGGATGTTTGTTAGGGTGATAATGAGTTGTTCATTGAAGATGGCTATTGAGCTTCCTAAAGCAAAATGTTCTTATTTTCCTAGTATTAGAGTCTTTTGACCAATAGATACAGAAGTTTCACTCTTTGATGCAGTGTGAGGTGCTTGGAGATCTAGCAGGATATTCAACTTCTTTCACTAATGTGGGAGTAGGGGTGATGGTTAAAGGGGAAGCTTGAAATAAAGCTCTTCTGCAATAAACATTAAGGGCACATTTTTTCACTGTTGTAGGATAACTCTCTTCTCAACTTCTGGATCAAGTGTAAATGACGGACCAGTGCAACCCTGCCTGGAATCAAAGTTATCAGTCTGATCTGTTTTGAAGGTTTGTTGGAGCTAGTAACCTTATATGTGTACTTTATAGCCTTCAGACTGGCAAAATATAAGTAGGGGGTCTGAACCAGGCTTCCATAGCCTGGTGCCCTCTAGATTTTGTTGGACTACAAATCCCATTTTCCCTGATCATTGGCCATGCTGGCTGTGGCTGGAGGGCAACAGGTTGGTCTAAATCAGGAGTGAGGAATCTGTGGTCTTCCAGATGTTGTTGGGACTCCAACTTCAATCGGATTCGACTGGCATAGCCAGTGGTTGTGGATGATGGGAGTTGTAGTCCAACAACATCTGGAGTACTACAGGCTCTTGTCTAAGCCATGATTCTCAAAGCCTACAGAGATAGTCAGTTGCTAAGAGGCTCACATTTTCCTCTTCTCCCCCACCCTTTAAACAAATGTTTTTGAGTGAATAATGATGTAAGTTTCTGAATGCAGATGTTTCACCAGTGGAAGATACAAAAGCTGACATCCCATGCCTTCACCTTATGGTAATCAATCCTTCCAGGAGATAACTTTGCTTGCTGCAGATGCCACTGAGAACTAGTTCACAGGCAAGGTAGTTGAGGGTAAGGCTGCTGGCCAGCATGTGCTGTGGAATGCTACATCAGTTGGCTTCTCCAAGGCTCCGGCTGCCTTACACATTACTTTTAAAAGTTGCTGGTGCCATAGTGAGAATGGCAGTGAGCTCTACCAATCAGACACTACCTTCATGGTTGCAGGATCAGTGAGAGTACTGGAATAGCATGGGGTTGGGCCAAGCACCCTCAGTAGTCTCATTGACCCTGCAATCTCATAGCTAGCGTCTGATTGACATAGCTGTCTGTTTCTTTCATCCCCAGGATCAGTAATTTTGAAAATCAAGGTTGGAGCCACTTGCTGCTAATGCATAGGGAGTCTTCAGGAACCTTGGGTGGTCCAGGACCTTGGAGCTCTGCTTGCTAGTTCGGTTGTAGTAGCACCACTGGCTCAGATAATCTAATGTTTTCCTATGCAAACAATTTCTTCTATGGAGAAAGCCA